AATAGTTTTGATTGTCAATTTTTGTAGTTGCTGATTTATTTATGTCATTTTTTTTTGCCGAATTGTTTATTTTTTGCCGAATGTTACACGAGTGGTAGTATTTTTTGCTGAATGTTACATGAGTGGCAGTATGCCGAATAATTTTTTTTCGACTAGTGTATTATAAAAGTATATATCTTGTTTTATATTATCTATTTTCTTATATGAATTGTCTAAAATAATTTTTTTTAGGATCTGAAGGATTGCAAAAAGAGTTTTTTTTTTTATAGTTATTTTTACTTTATATTTATATTTTTCTATAATATAAAATAGATTTTATTAATTGATTTGACTCTATTTTATATATTGTATGAAATCTGATCAACTATATTTTTTTTTTTAGCTTTTTCTTAAATAATTTCTATTTCAATTTTATTTTAACCCTTTTTTACTTAATTTTAATTTCAGGATTATTTGAAATTTCAATATTATTATTGGTTAAAGTTCAAAAAAAGTTGTTTGTAAAGTCATTTTGTATAAGAATACTTCTATATTTTTCTATTAAAAAAGTATTAAGTGATTTTTTCTTTTTTTTTAATCTTGAGTCCATGTTAATTAATAACTGTAACTTTTAAATAGATAATTGAATTTGCATTCAAGATTTTGACTAGAATACTATCCAATATTAAGTATTCTATTGATTTTGAGATTTGATTCAATATATTGTTTAATGCAATAAAAGTATTAAAAGTAATTTGAACAATCCATAGTTTTTTTTTTTGAATTATGTTTTTCAATTATTTTAACTATAGTATCGAGAATATAGAATTTTCTTTTTTTTTTGCAATTTGTATGATTTTTTTTTGAGTACCTATAATCAAGTTAGATTATTGATTTATTAATAAATTGGTATATTTTTATTTGAATAGTATAATATAAACTATAGCTAAACTATTATTTTAATTTAACTAACTCATTATAAGCATAAAAGTCTCTAAGTTCAGCCTTGAGAACAATATTTCACTCTGCAGTATCTTTGGATAAAAACTCTTCTAATCCATTGTATCATTGTTAATAGGCTGTTACTGCCATATATTGAATAAAGCTACTGGAATATAAAAAACTACAAAAGGATGGATTGAAAAAAGAAAAAGATAAGTATTTAAAAATATCTAAATAAACAATAAGAAAATAAAAAAAAAAAAAGATTTCCAGCTTCCTCCAAAAACCTGCTTCTCAAGATCTCTTTTCAATAAGAAATGTTTGATTAAATATCCTTTTTCTTCTAATTATTTGAGAGACTTATCTATTCTTAATCTTGATTTCCTTCTTGTATATTATCTGAGAAGACTTATTACTTAATGAAAGCTTTTATTTCTAGAATATACTTGTTTCCAATCTTCTTTGATAGTAATTTTTTATCCATTTATAGTAGAAGATGACTTATGATGGATTCCAGGTTTTTATATAATCCAATAGAAACTAAATCATGTTATTTCAATATGATATCTTCCAGTAGTCATGTCTAATTAAAGAAATTTTCTGATATACATTTTTTATTATCCAAAAGATTAAATTCCTTAACAATTCTTTTGTCTTGTAATGATAGCAATGTTTGAAAAGTGATAAAAATTTATATTAATTACAATATTCTTTAACAACTTTTGGAAAAATATATTCTCAATTGTAACCAAAGATTTGAAACTTAATATGAACTAGAGATCATTAGATCTTATAGTATTACTTGACTGAGATAAAAAAAAAATCTTGGTCTTGAACTTTTTCTAATGAAATGATAAGAGAAAAAGATTTCAACTTGAACAAATAGTAGCTTTTTCATTATTTGAGAACTTGTTGCTTATATCTTATTAACCTTATAGAACTTGAACTATAGATTAACTCAATTAAAGAAATGTGTAAGATTAGGGTATTCAATTAATTTTTTCAATTATCAATAATATTATTGAAATATATAAATATAACCAATAAGTACTTGTTTACATTTTATTACTAATGTGTTTTGTGTCAACCAATTAGATATCAGATAACATTGTGCTATCAAAAATTCAATATCAAATTGAAATAAAAAAAATCTTTTAAGAAAACTATAAAAAACAGTAAATACTTTAAGAGAAAACAAGACAGTATATAAGAAGATAAATAATAAGTCTTTTTTTACTAACAAAATCTCTATTTCTTATCACTTTCAGCTTTGTAAGGTGACACTCCACTTGTCAGTTATTTTACTTCCTAGAACCTTCTTGCTCTTAATAGAGAAAATATATATTTGAATCTATTTAAGCCACTAGAGATCCAAGTTTTTATTTAAATAAATTTATAAACAAGTAAAGGAAGATAGTAGAAATAAGTAAAAATAAACTTCAAGTTATTTTAATAAAAGTATAAAGACTTTCTTAACAAGGAAGTATAAAACTTCTGTAATTATCTTTTTTGTAAGTGATCAAAGAATTAATATAAAAAGTTTTATTGCAATTTTTATAATTCTATGTATTTTTATTATTTTATAAATCATATATATCAAAAATAAATTATTGATTTGTTTATTGTTTGTTTATTCTGATTTGTTTATATTATTTGTAAAAAATATTGTGATATTAATATATTATTGTTTTGGTTTGATATTTTGTTTATCAGAGAAGCTGTTAATTTTTTCTATTTGATTTATTTTTTTGTTGAATTTGTTATTAATCTCTTTTTGTTATGAGAGTTAATTTACTTTGTTTATAGAAGTCAGTGAACCTTATTATATTGTTTTAATAATTACTATAAACTAATATATTTACAATATGTTTTATAACTTGTTTTAATGTTTAGAATAGAATGTTTGACAATTAAGGTATTCTATTATTAGTTTTTAAAAGCCTTTAATGTTTTTCTGAACTTTGTAAACTTTGAGTTTTTTCTGATTTATTGATAAAAACCAAAGTTTATAAAGTTTTTTTTGGTACTTAGAAAGGTATAAACTGATACTACCTAGCTAAAAACTTGAAAAGTTAATATTGGATTCTTCTAAGTTTATTGTAAATTAATTTTAAGTGTATTTCTTTTTTCTTGTAAAAATAAATCAAAAAAAAATAAAGTATAGTCTTTAAAGTTTTGCTTAATAAATAAGTTATTTGAATGTAGTTAAATATTAGGTAGCTTGTTTCTTAACTATTGGTTTATACTAATAATAGGTCCCTAAAGTATTTAGTATATAAAATTTCACAAATTACTTATGTCCTTTTTTGAGGAACAAAATTCACAGCTCTTCACTTTAATAGGAACAAAAGTCAAGAAATGCTATAAATCAATAATTTAAATAATGAAGATCAATTGTAGGTAGTTTTTTTATAGTTATTATTTTAAAAATTTTAATGTTTCTTGATAAAAGACATTTGATTTTTGTCCCTGCCTTTCCCTTTAAGAACCTATCTTTAGTTTGTACTAATAAAAAAATATTTATTTAGAATAATGCCACTTATGCAATGTTCATCAAAAAAATAAATAATTCAGCATATTAATAATATAAATAAATTATTAATTAATCAATTTCTACTATATAATTTAGCATAAATAAATCATCAATCAATTTCTAATATAAAGTATACAAAACATTTAATAAAACACACATACAGTATCTAGCCTGACAAAGGGCTTTAAAAAAAAAAACAGATAGTTTATTCATGTTAAAATGAAAATCCTAATATTTTATTATTTCTGAGTGATGATATATAACTTTTCAGTATTTATTTTTATTGATATAAGATTCTATTAACCTATTGCCTTAATTTTATTTAAAGATTAAACCTATTTCTTTGACTGTTATCATTAGAATCTTTATTGAAAATATAATCATTTTGTAATTGAATAGTTGATTATCAATTTTTTAATTGTTAAGTAGTATTAATATTGATACTTAAACTTCAATTTAATAAAATAATCCATTTTATCTTTAAAATATACTGTATATTACGTACAGTATTAAATATACTATATCGCGGTAACATATTCATTGGTTTATGCCAATTATCACAGATCATCATTGATTGTCATTACATTGTCACCTCAAAAAAAAAAAAGAAATTCACTAATTACGAATAACTTTATTGTATTGTTACAGAATTGTATGCGTTAAATGAAATTGAATGCTATAATAATTAAAGGTCGATGCCGTGACGGAATTTTTAAGAGATACAATTGAATGAAAAATAAAGCTCAGCAAAAAATTAATAGAAATGTTATAATAAAGAAGAAAAAAATTTTTTTTTGAATTCTATCGTGAAAAAATCAATTTTTAATCCACCATTATCTTACACGGATCAAAATAATTAAGGCTGCTTTCACGCGTTGACCACAGTCAACCTTCTTTTCGGTATCGTCATGACCACAACGTCTCTATTGGTAATTTCCTCTTCAAGTTTCGCTTGCCTTGTTTCTTCATCCAGTTCCTCCTCCTCATCGACATTTGTCATAATATTTCTATGCGACGTTCCTGTTCCAAGATTCTGATTGATAATTCTACTATCGCTATTTTCACTTTCTGACTCATCATTGGGGTCTTTGTCCTCCAATTTACCCCTTCCACTTGCCACGCTAGCCATTGCTTTAACCAATAGACTTCCTCTATTTCTTGGATACCCCATCCAAGCCAATAAAATCCAAGAAGCATACATAAAAATCATAAATATTAGAAGTAAGTAGAAAAATACTTTGTTGACCGAATTTACTTCAAATAAATAATATGTCAAGTATATTCCCGTCAGTAATAGTACAAGATGAAAAGAGTAATAGTATATATGCGTAATCAATGTTACTGGCGGATTCTGCTTTGGTTGGTGTAAATTTCCAGGGAGATTATTGTCATTTGAGCCTGTTAACGGTGCCCCGTTAGATCCCAATCGGTGATGTGAGGCGGATGTACTTTGAGAAACACGCCTCGAATTTGGCATACTTCCTCTTGACGAAGTGTTGTAATTAGCAGATTCCGTAACGCTTTTACGTTTTTCTACCCATGAGTCACCAGCCGGCTTAAGTATCGAAACCGGCGAGTCACCTTCATTCTGGTGAAATGATTTGTTGCTACTTCGATTAACTTCAAATGATTTAGGCGATTTGCTGGTTTCCTGACTTTTCAAGTTTAAAAGTGTTGCAAACTTATTACCAATTCCGCCGCCATCCCCGTGATCATCTGATTCTCCAAGCGAGGCTGACGGTGCATGTGACCTCTTATTAATTATTAATGAAATTATTACTAAAATTGGAATAAGAACATATAATACTGCCAGAACAATTATTCCCAATATGCCGTGAGCTGTCGAAAAATGGGAAAAATGTAGGTTGTTTTTATCTTCATATGCTACTGCAAATCCATAAAATGCAGTGAAATAAGAAGCCGCTATCAACGTCCCATAAATAATCCCAATACTCCATATCGAAATAACCCCATAACCAAATCTTGAAACTGTTGTCGCAATAGATAAAAATATATAGCTCAATGTAGAAAGGATGAAATGTGTTTTAGATATGGGTGTATTATCAGTGTTATTGCCACCGTTATTATCGGGCATAACAGGCATATTATCTTGGGAAGCTGGGATGCAAGATAAGAATTCTGTTTTTGTTATATTTGAAGGATTATTTCCCGATGTTGGGGCATCGTACAGGCGAAGAATCCACAGGTCATTATAGTTTGTCGAACTATTGTCCAATGCCTCTCCACCGAACATAAGAATATCTATTGCGCCAGCATTGGAGGAAACGGAAGTAACCGTGTTACCAGTCGCGATCATTCGGGCTCCTGCGCGAGTTTTTGGTAACGCATTACCATCACCCTGAGGGACTACTCTAACCCAAACTCCCTGTTACAATAACATATCTCGATTAATACGAAATATTCGATCAAGGACACGAGAACACGTATAAATACATACCGAACTAGTATCCAAAATACCAACTTCACCATCAACACCAATAGGTGCGTCACCAGGTAATTTACCACCAAAAACTATGGCCTGAGTGGAAAAAGCGGGAACACTGTAAATGCCATTCATCACCATCGCAGCATCCTCTCTTGAGCCTAAACATTGACTATCCGGACTCCAGAATGCTTTAGTCACGCTGGTTGGTATACCAGAATTGTAATCGTTTCCTAAGACCAAGGAGGATACGTCCGGTATTGCGCAATCCCCACCGGTACTATTGCATCCTCCATATATTGCCAATCGACCACCCGGAAGGATGGCACCTGCAGGTTGCTTTCGACCTACGAAGAACAATCGTGATCACAGAATGTTAAATATTTTGGATATCGGTGAGGTATCGCAGTATACGAAAAAAAGATCTATTACCTTGAGGTATGACTCCACTGGTAGGAACTTTATACCAGACGGTGGACAAAGTATTTTCATTGGGGGTCCAGCTTCCACGGAACACCTGAGCCCAAAGATCCGTGAAGAACACAGTTCCATTAGTTCCGTGAGAAATCCACATTGTATTATTCGGAGTCACCTGACTTCCCGTTTGAATGGTTGTATCGATTCCACCGATTGCTGAATAAAACTGAGGAACAGGACCACTCATTGATGTAACATCTGTTATCTGTGTCCATGTAAGATAAACCATGTCAAACGCCCATGTGTCATTAAATATAACATCGCCTTCTCCTCTACCACAAGAGATCACAAATGTATTTCGATACGATCCCCAAACGTCCATCCCGTAAAGCATATCCGATCTTGCTTGCGGACCTTGCGAACTTGGTGGAGAACTCCAGCTTAGATTGTTGAAATTTGCAAGATAAGTTTGGCCATTTTTATTACCGTTTGCCGTACTGTAAAAATAACAAAAGAATTGCGTTCGTTCCCAATTTGTAATAGAGATTAACCATTCTGAGTAAGGTAAACATGATTCAATTATGTCATCTGTCATTATTCAAAAAAGATAAAAACACTCACGTTCCACCAAAAATGATCATTGTATTCGTGTTTTTATAGTAACCGATAGCAAAGTCTTTCAATCCAACAGGTGCATTTCCCGTTAAACGTGCTCCCACATTTTTCCATTCCATTGCAGGTATCGTCAAGGTTGGATTAGAACTACCGGAGACAACAACGGGTGAAAACGACGAGAAAATCAAAAGGATGAACATGGGCAAGCCCAGAAAGGAAATATTCCCGAAGAATGACTCCGTAACAGTTGGTAAATATTTCTTTCTTATTCTTGTTCCAAAGGTTATCGCACCCATTTCCACTAATTATTGTCAGAGGGTCAATTAGGGATTCTTACTATCTTCGAAGCGATATGTTTTTATTATTAGGGTCTATAAAAGGGGGAAGTATCCTTTTCGTTACGGCTTTACAAAAACTTATTATAATTAGAAATATTGTACAAATTGTGGAAAAAACTAAAATTAATAAAAAAAAAAAGTTAAAGGGGAAACTGAGTTTCAAGTGGTTATATGAATTTATCATATATCCTCCCTTTTTTTTCAAGGAGAAAAAAAAAATTTTTTTAAAAAAAAATTAAAAAAAAATTAAAAAAAACCTTTCAAAGGTCGCTATATTTTTGTTATTTAAACTGGAGGAGAGTTAAACGAAACACCACAGTATATCGCACGAATTCAGGTGCAGTAATATTAGTTTAAGATAGGTTATGGAGAATTAGCGAGGCGTGAAGGAAAGTCATAAATGTACATTTAGCGGTTAGCATAAAGCAAGTGTATGTTTGAAAGGTGATTAAATTCAAGATATTTACGCTTTCAAACTTTTGCAGGTGAAGAGGTAAAGGTTATTTCGAAAAAGAAATTTCCTTAAAAAACAATAACACATTTCCCGAATTGAGAATGATATATAAGAAAAAAATTTTTTATTATTCGCATGTAAAAATGTGGGTGCATGCACAAGCGAGTACGTGATATATGATATATAATTATGCATGGTTATATTTGGCATTCCAAATTTATAAATCAGGTTTGTTTTTATTATACGTGTTTAGATAGATCAGATGTTAATGTTACACGATATCTAAGGTAATTAACCAATTAATAGCTCGTTCCATAGATTCGGGGTGATATTCAGGGTGATATTCAGGGTGATAAAAGAGAACTGTGGTAGTGTGATCTCATAATAATGGAAGGACGTGATTTTAAAAGATGTAAAAGAATGGCTTATTGCATAATTTCATTTACATACACTCATACAGTATTTAATTTATAAATTAATTTTTTATAAAATAAAAAATTTTTATTATTTATATTAATAATTATTGTGAAATAATTGTAAAATCTTTAATAGAAAAAAAAAATTTTTTTAATTAATTTTTAGTTATTGGTTATATGGTTATAAAAAAATTAAAGATATTTTTTTAACTAGTTATACTAATTGGATTTTATTGATATAAATTATGGAATATACAGATGGTTTACAAGAGCTATTCTTATAATTGCTAATTTATACTATGATCAAATTTATATATGAATCAATATGTTCAAGTGAAATTGTTTTTAAAAAAACAATTTCTAAAGAAAGAATTAAAAAAGTAATTTATAATAATAATAAAATATTAGAGAATAGATTTATCAAAAATTCTTTAAATAATATTATACAATATTTTACAAGAAATATAGTTTGCTTAGAATCCAAGTTTATTAATAAATCAAAAGAACTAAAACAATTTCTTTAATTCTAAAATCAAAAAAAAATATCCAATCTTTTAAAAAAAAAGTAAAATTATTTCTATAAACTTCTAAAAATCAAATGAAGTTATTTATTAACTTATCTTACTTTTGAATAAATTATAATTACTTATATACTTGTAAAAATATATCACTTAGACTACTTGAGCCTTTTAGATCTCCTGAATTATCTAATATATCGTAAATTATATTATACTGATATTATATTTGATAAAGTTATTTATTCTAATTAAGTATCAATAAAAATATCAAAAAATATTAAAAAAATAATTATAAATAAATAGATAAAAATAGAAATAAAATAAATATTATGACTAAACATAACTATTTAGTGATATTAAGAGTTATTTTTATTACATTTTTCCCTTCTTAAAAAATAAAATTCTCTTAGTCAAATTTTCTCATATAAAAAATAAAATTCTTTTGTTACTTAATATTAAAATAATTTATTATCACTGTGATACTTTGTGGATCAATGACTTGTGATATAAGATTATACTCTAAGAACCTTTATTTCATATTTATATTTTTTACTTTTTATAGATATTATATACTTTATTATTTATATATAATTATTATAACTATTCAAAAAAACTCTTTTCGCTGATCCTCTGATCACACACAAAAAAGATATTCGCAAGAAGTTTTATACTTCTTTGCTAATAAAGTCTTTACACTTTCATTAAAACAA